AAAATAAGAACTGCATAAGCCTAACCCCGCCCAACTTTACAGCTAAATGATTATGGTACGGTCTCAGAAATTTAAAGTAATCATGCAATGAATGAATGAATGAATGAATGAATGAATGAATGAATGAATGAATGAATGAATGAATGAATGAATGAATGAATGAATGAATGATGAATGAATGAATGAATGAATGAATGAATGAATGAATGAATCCACATTTTATTTATGTTTTTGTGTGATATATCCAAAGATGGTTATTTGTGTTTTTCACACCATGCAATTCGATCTCAATCTGATTAAAGGGTAATAAAACTTAATTGATGGAATGTTTTCACAAGATTTTGGGGTGTGAACATACATATGGGACCAATCAGATATATGTCATTGATTCATTTAGCATTCCAATCAATTTATTAGCCGAATTCATTGGTAATTGAAAATAAGAACTGCATAAACCTATCCCCGCCCAACTTTACAGCTAAATGATTATGGAACGGTCTCAGAAATTTAAAGTAATCATGCAATGAATGAATGAATGAATAGATGAATGAATAGATGAATGAATGAATGAATGAATGAATGAATGAATGAATGAATGAATGAATGAATGAATGAATGAATGAATGAATGAATGAATGAATGAAGGTTAAATTTGCTGACCATATAGAAAAAGAAGAGTTTTACGGCTTCAATTTGAATTAATATTAAATTGATCAGCATTTTATTTTTGCGTTGATATGACATAAAATGAATAATAATTTCACGGCAAAATATCATTTTTCTCTATATATCTTAATAGTCAGCCTTTTCTCGCTTGCATGTAAAGAGCGTTAAACTTGCCGAACATATAGAATAAGAAATTTTACGGCATTAAATAAAATTGAATTAATATCTAGCTGATCAGCAGTTTTTCACAAATTTATGTGGTCGGCATGATTTTATAAAATATGTTTTCCTGAATGTAAAGAGCGTTAAATTAATTAATTAATGAACTAAACAAAGAAACAATCTTTTTAGAGCTAATTCTTAATAAACTGTATGTAAAATTTACGGCCAAATGATCCACATTTTATTTATTTTTTGTGTGATATATCCAAAGATGGTCATTTGTGTTTTCACACCATGCAATTGAATCTCAATCTGATTAAAGGGTAATAAAACTTAAATTGATCGATCTATACTTCTGTTACGTAATATGTTAAGTAATTTATGTCATGTGATAACAATGTTTTCACACGTTTTTGGGGGCCAATCAGATATGTCATTGATTCATTTTGCAATCCAATCAATTTATTAGCCGAATGATGATTCCTTTATTCATTGGTAATTGAAAATAAGTACTGCATAACCCAAACTCAGCCCAATTTTATTGCTTAATGATTATGTTACGGTCAAAGAAATTTTAGGTAATCATTCAATCAAAACCATAATTTTTCATATGTTTATTCATTAAAGTTATTCTTTGCTGATTCTATTTGTAAAATATTTTGTTGATTTAAGTGGTCAGCATTTGCTCGCCTGAATGAAGGTTAAATTTGCTGACCATATAGAAAAAGAAGAGTTTTACGGCTTTCATCAATTTGAATTAATATTAAATTGATCAGCATTTTATTTTTGTCGTTGACATGACTAAATACAATATATTAACTTTGCAGACAACATAAAATGAATAATAATTTCACGGCAAAATATCATTTTTCTCTATATATCTTAATAGTCAGCCTTTTCTCGCTTGCATGTAAAGAGCGTTAAACTTGCCGAACATATAGAATAAGAAGTTTTACGGCCTTAAATAAAATTGAATTAATATCTAGCTGATCAGCAGTTTTTCACAAATTTATGTGGTCGGCATGATTTTATAAAATATGTTTTCCTGAATGTAAAGAGCGTTAAATTAATTAATTAATGAACTAAACAAAGAAACAATCTTTTTAGAGCTAATTCTTAATAAACTGTATGTAAAATTTACGGCTAAATGATCCACATTTTATTTATTTTTTGTGTGACATATCCAAAGATGGTCATTTGTGTTTTTCACACCATGCAGTTCGATCTCAATCTGATTAAAGGGTAATAAAACTTAATTGATGGAATGTTTTCACAAGATTTTGGGGTGTGAACATACATTTGGGGCCAATCAGATATATGTTTGAGGAAGTGTTTTATTGAGTTTGGCAGAATAAATACTTGACCATCTTAAAGAGAAACATTCTTCCTAAATCTTATAAAGTTTGCTATTGTACCAAATATTTAATGGTTATTGAAGAAGTATTTCATTAACTTTGGCATTGGTCTTACATATATACAGTTTATTATTGCAATTAATTATTATTTTTTTTTGTACCAAAAATATTCAATGCCAACTCAATATGTACTTCGTTGAATTTGGCAAAATACATACTTAGTCAATTAAAAGAGAAAAACAGTTCATTAGTCTCATACAATCTGTTACTGTATTCATCACTTTTTTTATATACCAGAAACATTTAAATGCTTACTCAAAAAATGCATTTCACTTATTAATGTTAAGGAAGAAAGAGGACTTATTATTGCCTTTGCACTAACGCTCACCATTTGTATATATGGGATGTGTATTTGATTTGTTCATCATTTCTTGCTATAAACATTTGTACAATGTTTAATGCTAAATAAAATCTATTGTCATTGTCATTGTCATATGTTATTGATTCATTTTTTATTCCAATCATTTTATTAGCCGAATGAGAATTCCTTTATTCATTTGTAATTGAAAATAAGAACTGCATAAGCCAAACCCCGCCCAATTTTACAGCTAAATGATTATGGTACGGTCTAAGAAATTTAAAGTAATCATCCAATGAATGAATGAATGAATGAATGAATGAATGAATGAATGAATGAATGAATGAAAAAATGAGTGAGTGAGTGAGTGAGTGAATGAATGAATGAATGAAAAAATGAATGAATGAAAAAATGAATGAAAAAATGAGTGCACTCACTCACTCACTCACTAACCAACTCACTCACTCACCAACTCACTCACTCACTCACTCACTCACTTCATATATTTTCCGGAATATGATATTCTTTTATATGTAAGATCACCATATTATGACTACATTTTCTAAATTTTATCCAATTTATATCACATAGAAGACATTTCATTAACATACTGACATAAGATAATTTAACAATAGAAATTGAGAAATATATCAATTATTATTTATATATCAATATTTATTATTTGTAATAGTGTCATCATGAAAATACGTCTTATCAAGCATCTCTCGACGTCGCCTAGAATAACACTAATAGCTAGTTGACACCTAATTGACATCTTCAATGTTTTTCCTTCTTTATCTAACTTGTCGGCAGTTTTCGATAACGCTTCTTTATTTAAACTAGTTAGCAGTTTCTTATATAAATTATCATATATATCATCATTCGTCAGCAGTTTAGTATTACATCAAATCGGCCCGTGCAAAAATCGGCTCTAACACGTTTCGGCCCATATTTTGTCTTAATTTAGTCCGGGAAGTACATAAAACTACCTTAAATATTAATATATATTACCTTCCAATTGGATTAATTTCCGTTCCTTTGAAATTGGAATTAATTCCAATAGGATTTATTTCCAATAAAAAGTATTGGAAAAAACTCCAACTGGAATAATGTCCAGTTGGGTTTTATTCCAATCGGATTTTTTTCCAGTTAAATTTAATGGAAAAAAATCCGATCGGATTTTCCGAAAAATGCTTAAATAGACGTTATTTCAACAAGAAAATGCATAAAAATACATATTAAGCATGTGTTTATGTATTTCGACAATTTCATAAAAATTGAAATTCCCGTTGGAATAAATAATAATGTTGGAATAAATTCCAATTGGAATTTAAATAATTCCGCCCGGACAGCATAATTCCGATCGGAATACATGAAATTCCGCCCGGAAATTTTTTTTAAAATACAATTTTTGATAAGAAAAAAATTAAAAATAGCTTTAAATGAAGTCAATTATTAATAATTAACATTAAATTTATCGGATGAAATGATTTTTGAGTGTTTAGGGCAAGTATAAATGGTAGTGAAGTTTGCCACTATCACGGTGGTGCAAAGATTTTCCGGTGGCTGTTTAAATATGGTTTGAAAAATCTTTAAAAGTGATCTCAGGAAACAGTTTTTAGGAAAGGACAGACAGAAGGATTGACAGAAACTTTGAGGGAAAATCTTTTAACATCTCAGGTTTGTACTAGAATATTCCATTTTGACGGGCAAAATTTAAACTTTAGAGGGAAAAGCTCTTGAAATTAAAATGAAAGACGTATGAACATTGTGATATATGATGTGAGTGTCACAAAGATCAACTATCTTAAATTAAAAGAAGATATTATATAAAGTCACAAAGAAGAAAAGTTAAGAAATAAAACAATCAAATAAACTATTTATAGTTTCAAAGGAGAAAAAAACAACAACACAAATTTGTAATTAAACTTAAAGCTCATAATGACAATAATAATAGAAACCCACCCGCAAGACTAAAAAATCTTATCACATATAATGAATGTGTTGCTAATAAATGCATATTTTTAACTTAAAGTACATCCAAAAGAAGGAGAAAGTCCTAAAAATATGGAAGCTAGAAGCATTAACTTTGTCATGTTCTAATGATGTGGTAGTTTGAATTTAATCCTATAAGAAATGAAGAAGTTTGAGTAAGAAATAATGATTTCTAGAAAAAAATCTAAGTTCAAAGGAGTCATAAATCTATATATACAATCACGCAACAATATTGAATCTTTTCATAATTTTTATAGTGATAATAAGAAACATGTATATTACGTTTGAAGTATATAAATTAAGGATTTAAGAAGTGATAAAACAAAACAACATATTTTTCATGAAATTTATAAATTCAAATGTGATAATTTTGATAACTTGTGTGCTAGAATTGTCAACCTTATCATATGTGGTGCGCTTGATGACCAGTTTTAAGTAAATACCTTACGAAATAAAGTACTTACTGTGAAAATGCGTAAAAACGTGAATCAGAAATCTTGACGAGGTCGTTGACGCTTGATGAGTAGGTCAGCTCTCAACATACTCCCTATAGTTAAGATTAAAAATATGTGTACATTTTTCATACTTTCAACTATCCATATTTCAAGTTTAATAAAAAATATTTTAAGTTTTTTTCAGTTATCGCTTATTTTGTTATATTTGTTATATCTTAAGACTATTTGTTGACATGGCAACCAAGTTTCAACATAATATTATGAAGAAAGAAAAAAATGTGTATATTTTCCAGACTACCATCGACATATATTTGAAGCCTCATAGATATATTTTCAGTAATATTTGCGTAATAATAGGATCAAATCTTGTGAACGGATGGACTGTCGGACGGAGGGTTTCAGTCCCCTCCGGTTTAACAAGTAGGAACTAGTGAAAATACATGAAAGAATGCAAACCTGTGCTTGAATGATTTTTAATTGAAACAGTAAGATAATGAATGTACAGCTATCTGTTAAAGAACTGTGAGACATGCCTTTTTTAATAAATTGAAGATTAGTAATATACTCAAAAGTCCACAAACGTCTAAAACGATCATCTTTATAAAAGATACAGTAAAAATAGGGAAACAATACTGTTATCCTCTCTCCATGTATATGGCTTAGTCGGAATATTATATCTTACTTACATCGAAAAGATATATAAAATGCAAATACATAAATATTATTTATGTGTGGGTTATGATGAATTTAAATTCCATATTTAACTCTGCTAAAGTTCCTACTGAACAATCTCTAAATTTTAAATCGCCATAAATTACTTATACATAATAAACTTCTTTGATTTTAATTGAATCATTTCCTTATTGAAAAAAAAACAAACAAATTTTTGCTACAAAATATTAAAGTCTTGCACACTTGAAACTGGCATTCACTGTCATTTAAAATTTGACAAATTTGTAAATGGACTTCGGCCTATTCATACCAAAAGAGATATTATATTTCTGATCATTGAAAGTCATTCAGCACAATAGTATAAGTGTAATTTCATTAATCTAAGTTGTTGCAAATTTGCTTTTTCGAAGGAGAGTTGTTTAAACATACTCCTTTATGAAATAATGTTAAAACAACACAAGGATTTTTGGATATTTTGATTGCTTCAAAAAAGATGTCTCTGATATGCAGGCTTCATCAACTCCCTTGCAAATTCTATTTTATTAGTTTCTTTTTCGCGTTCTATTAGTTGTGAAACATATATGGCTATTCATGGAATGACACGACCTTGTCTCATTGAAGGTTGCGTTCGTATAAACACATGAGCAAATGTTTTCAAACTTCAAAATGTCATGTTAATGTTAAACTCTGTTGAAGTCTGTGCTAGTTGACCGGGACATTACTGTTCATCAAAAAACAACTTGCAACATTTTTCTGAAGTGAAATATTAGATATGTGCGCCTTAAGTTAAGCAAAAATATATCAAGAAAATCTAACGAGAGAAAAAGTATTAAAAATTAATTGCTGGAAGTCCCGTTTAGGTTTGCTTTCACTGAATGCTTTTTTCATATCTTAAGAATTTAAGAAGATTTCAAACAAGATTCAAGTGTTAATAGTTATAACCACTCAATTTCAGTAATGTTAATTTCTCTCAGGCCACAGGGAGTTATTCATATTGTTAATGCAAGTGTACCGCATGACTAAGAAGTGTGTACTCTAACATAGGTAACAGTACTTTTTAACAGTATAAAATCTGGTCACGAGGTTTACATTCTAAATAAAAGTTAATAAATATCCGCCATTATTTTCTCTCTTCAGCCTCTTATTTTCGAAGTTCACTACAATAGGGCATCACCGGAGTGACTATGAAACCCATACAATTTAGTTTGCTTGCACCCTTGAGGGATATGTATAAGGAGAAGGGTGATCATGTTACTGTAGACAGAACAAAATAGAACAATAATGTTCATTCCGTAACAATAGAATAAGGGGCCATGACCCTCTATTTAAAAACAAAAGACACTAACACAAGAAATAGCCCTTTAGTCCATTTAAATGGAATGTCCGTGCTTTTCGCGTTCAGAACATCTTTTGATTGAATAGTCAGAAAATAGATATCCATCTCCACCTGAAGCGATTTTTGGTAACAGTAAAAATATCATTCTGAGGAAAATACTGTTACCTAAGGCGTTACAAAGCTTAATAATGCCTGATTTCAACCAAAGCTTAGTTACTCAATCCATTCTGCTATCCATCGTTTCCAAATACATTCAGTATGAAGAGCTCAATTGACAAGAAAAACACAATAAAACCGAACATGTATGATGAACTTATATCAAAGTTCATGTGTATTTTATATCTAAGCACTTATCAAACAGTTGCTTAGTTTTTTTCGTTTTTTTCTTTATTTCTGTGATATTTTCAAATAATTGAATTTCATTTGAAGCTGCACGCCTCCAGATTTATGCCAATTTTCATAAAAATTTGAAAATGTATTTAACAGTTTAATATTGTGAAGTTACTAAAAGAATGCAATTTACACATTATCAATGGCACTTAAAACCCATGTAAATTACCATTAGGGGTTCATATTGTGCAAAAATAGCCCTTACTTTGTAAGTAACGTAGTAGAAATATAGTTATTAATACTGAAAAATTGGTCATTAATCGCACATAACATGTAAATTATTACTAGAATATTGAATCTTTATGCTTTAAAAAAAATCTTCTTACTTTGTTTTCAGGTTTGATTTAATCGAAATATTTTTTCTCATCTTGAGGCGTACAGCTTCAATAAATGAACTCATTATCAAATAAGCTTTAATGTGTAAATTTTCAAATGTTTCAAGAAACTGACCTCCAGAAGATAATTAGAAAAGTACCGTCTTACTTATATTTCAAAATCCCTCTTCAAAAACATAATATAGTTGAAAGAAATCGAAATGACACTTCAGATTGTTCGTATTTTCACATATAATTGCTTTTTTGCTTTTCCGCAAACGTGAAATAACTTCTTTTATTATGCTTCGGAATTCACTTATCTAGATATTTTTTCTAGTACAACGGCATTGCACAGGATATTAAAGTTCTGAGTTAAATTTCTCTATTATTCTTTAAATTTCGTGGGGGAGTATGTTATGATTCAAAACCGTTTGCTATTTTGGAGAGAAGATGTGTAATTGGCCGGATAGCTCAGTAAGTAGAGCCGCTGTATGATCAACTTTGAAAGAAAATTTAAAATACTTGCACTTGAATTTTTCTCATTTTTAAGGCATCCCTGGTAAACCTTTTACGTAATCTTTGTTTAAATTAATTAAAACTGACAAAGATATAAAAATAGTAGGAGCGCCGTGTTTTTCTTGCGACTTTGAGAGTGTGGTTTTCAAAAAAAAACAAAAAAACTTTTGAACTATTTACAACTATTTTACACTGCATTCTTAGTGATACATCATAAATCTATCGCGAACCCGAGCTATATTTATGTTGTTTTCCTTTGACGATATTAGTGACGCCATCGTTAACGATAATGACTGTTGTGCCTGTATCTTTGCGCTTTTGTTTACGTCAGACATTGTAAAAGTCTGTGGTTCTGGTGTATTGAATTTATATGATAGATATGTAATACGTCGCCTATAAAGCAGGTTCACCGATTAAAATGCGTTCATCTTCCCGATATACTCCTTATTATAAATTAATGCGGAATACGTCGTAAAAGCAAATCTTTGAAAGTTAAATTGATATGATTTACATAGCCAAAAACCTTGTGGCATTGGCAACTGATCATTTATACAATCAATCATATATCATTAGACTAGTGATAAAATCTGCGTAAGTAAATAACGGCAATTTTGTTTACATTTCAACGAAGTTTTAATTGTACTTTGTTGTTTTGAAAATCTGTTCCTTGTAGATTGTGTTGTAATGAAGAAGAAAATATTTATTGCTTACATACAAGGTACAACTTCTATAATATTCAAGAAAAATGAAAGGGCAGCAGGAGGATGTAATGACGAACGGACGGACAAAAATAATTATATGAATACCCCATCCCAATTGTATCGGCGGAAAAATTATATGAAGCTTAAATAAAAACATACTGATAATAATCAAAGGTTAATACTGTTGTTAAAGACTTACTGAATTTCCGATATATCCGTATAGATTTAACATGTGAATGAATAGCTGCTCGATAAACATATGTACGATTCCCAAACATTTTCGATTGAAGAACTTTACTGATTGACACAACAAAATGAACTACCAAAGTTCGCTCATCCATGGTATAGCACCTTACACCGGATATTAGCGTATTAAGAGTGAAAAATAAAACATAAATAAAAGAAGTAAAGAATATAATCATCTGAGTTAAAAATAATCAGCTAATATGACATTAAATTAGCTTGGGATTAATTTTATATTTCTCTTAATACAGGACAGACATATTATACATACCGACATTTCAAAAGCCATGATATGACGTTATTTTTAGTAAAATGATCACTGTTGCTCACGAAAGACATCATTATGCCAGAGAGCAAAACTAGTGTCGTCATAAGTCTTGTTAACATATAATAATCTGATTATATTTTACCTTTACCCCAAACAATTACTTACATTCAATTCTGTAGTAAGACTCTAGATGTCCACAGGGATAATGACTGCACACGCCCGGTGCACATAGTAAAGTAGTTTAGTTTAATATGTATAGCGAATACTGTGAATATAATGTCCTGTGTACAATAAAAATAACTCAATACATAAATAAGCATTGAGTGGCTTTTTAATACTTTTTAGCTATATACTTTTTAGCTATATTATTACAAGTATTATAACATATTCTAATTTTAGTCTCAGATATAACACTTTGGTAGTGGCTTCATTAAATCAAACAAGTAAATTTCTAATATTATCTAAGCCCAATGCAATAATAATATTAATAAAAAACATGTGCAAACGCAAATAAGGTGTGAAATAAATATGGTAAATAATCATGATATATATTATGAACAAGCAGTTTTACTAGTAAAAAAGAAGAACTGATTAGGGTGGATTTTTTTCAATCACTTTAACTCACAGACAGCACTATTTTGCACATTTATAT